CGCAACCAAACAAATATAAAAATATGTATTTACTCATAGGCGGGGAAAAAGGAATTACTTCAGCTTGTCTTGATTTACCTCATGGGAATGGGTTTCGATGTAATTTGGAACTCTGGGCAAGTTTCTTGTCAATTTCAGTACAAGAGCAGTATGAACTGTTGTCCTAGACCATAAGCTACATCTGTTTTGGCGCTACTGGCGTACTCGTCTCTTATCATTTGCGTCTCATCATTTGGAACAAATGATGTCCAGGTGATATATGGGAGCCATAGTTCTCCTCCTAATGTTATAATGATAGAAATTATTACACATACAGTATCGGATCAGACATCACTTTCAGTGTAAAACTTTAGATCCAGAATAGATGCATTTACTATGAAAGATGAAAATCTCGAGAATTTTCCGCCTCTCAGCAATTCTCATTCAAACACAGTCCGCACTAATGCTGTTTGTCAAGACCTTTGGCCAGTTTCACTTCATCACGTCATTCTTGTTGATATCATCGATTATTTGCACTTATGCATCATTTTAAATTCTTTTTAATTGTAAATTTGTGTTGGGTAATGTCGGAGATCTTAGTAGTACGTGTTTTTATCCATAACGTTAGCAATAGCTTTGTTGTCTTTCTACAACATCGCACAATATCGCGTTTATGCAATAATAGGAAAGAAATGAACAAAATGAATATTAAATTGTACTGACAATCCACAAACGTTCGTACTTTGCTGTCGTATCACCTTTTATTGAAAATGAATTGAGTATTAATGAGCGATGAAATGAACTGAATCGAAGCTTGAAATACTCAAAAACTGAGCCAAGCCAATGATTTTAACTCCTTATACAAGAATTGGCTTATAAAAAAGTGCATAATTAGTGTAAGTAAAAAGTTGTCCCTCTACGATGATCAGTACCCTTTGATTTATGACATTAAAATTGGTAGCAATTTATAACATATTAAGCAATGTACATATTCTTTGTCAACAGATTGTAACATTTTAGACGCTGAAATACAGTTGCAAAATAATCTTAAATAAATGATTTCTTAGTTGTGATGTAAATTTGAAACAGTTTTATATTTGTGTAAGGAATATTCAAAGACAATTTTTAATCTATAAATTTCTATTTTATGGATTTAAATATTAAATTATTTCAAAATTATAAATTTACTTCTATTTTCCAACAGGCGTTATCATTTACTGATAAATGAAATAAATAAAGGTAACAGACAAATAAAATAAATGAAACTCCTCCACGTGACTCACATTTTTATGTCAATACATTTAACTGCTTAAACTAAAATCCGATGATTTTCAATTTGTTTTTTGTTTTCTCACTGTTCGATGATTCATACGAGGTCAAGAACGCGATGTACTCAATCTATCCCGTGAAATTCTATCACAAATAAATAAATGAAGTTGGATAGCAATATAAAATTGCTGTAACATCACGCTGGATTTACTGCTACTTCAACATTGTTCTGAAATTTCATTTCATTTTTTACAGGTTAAATCTGATAAACCAATAAAAAGTCCATAAGAATCTTGCTGAACTTTGAAAGGAATCCCTGTATTTGATGATAAAGTTATTATTTATTGATAATCGGTTACATTTGTAAATGCTGGGAGAGATTTCTGCTCACAGGCAAGTTTTACAAATTAAAAAATTGATATTAAACGGCTTTTAATGACGGAATTAGTTGGCCAGGATTAGATGTTTTAATTTTAGATTAAGTCAATGTTAAATCTGAATAACGCTTTCCTTTAATCATCATTATCTTCATAACTTCAGCTTTTTTGATAAAAGCAGAAAGAGAAAGAGTAGAATTAACTAAACTTATTACATAATTTGTTGGTATCTTTGAGAATTTTTCTTTTTCTCTTTAACTCTTCTGCTCTTCAGAAATATACTTTTAGAAATGAAATTTAACTTTGAATTATTTCTCATTCCACGATCTTTTGAAATGCGAGAAGTCTGATGATATTTAATTGATAACTGATGAATTCGAACTCTAAACTATATATATTACACGAAATGACGTGTCCCAAAATTTCTACCCTTAGGGATGACATGTGCTGTACAATGGGAAGCTGGGGAATTTTATATTACTTGAAATTTGCAATTAGCAGGACTTTCCGATAAGTAAACTTATGAGTTCCCCTTCTTTGCCCTAATTACATTGACTTTTGATGGTTTGCCCAGCATCCTTTACGCTTCTATGAATGACCAGTCCTCTTCATCGTAGAACCATCCCTTCCGCATCTATGAATGACCGCTCCTCTTCATCTTGGCACTATCTCGTGCTCTTTGTTACAACATGCCAAATATAGTCATATTCATTTCTGTTTTCCTGAATATTTGATTTTCAGTCATCAGATTATAGTAATTTTCCGGCTTTCTATTCGATGATTTTATTTAAGTTTCAAAATTATGTATAAATGGACGTCATAAAGATCATAAAACTCCTTGCGTTTCTCTATGTCTTCCACATTATATTTTAAATGAATTGTAACATTTATAAAATTTCAATTTCAAGGAATAAAATGTTTTAGGGAAGGGCAATTTACACTTTATTAATTAAAACTCTACCGTAGTAGTCTAATGAGGGATATTCTGGGACGACCATTGTTCAAATTCTTCCGTTCATCAACAACGACCACTACGCCATCATCCTCCTCCACTGAGTACCATCAATTAAAGGAAGACAAAGGCGATGAAAGAGAACAGCAGCAAATTACTCAAAACACATCCCTGAACCGACATGCTGATCCCATACGCATACCTAAACCAAGGTGATCCTCAATTATCATTCAATGTCACTTTCATATACACGACAAGTTACTCTTCATATCCAGGCTTTTTGTTGTTAATCGTAGACTTATTTGCTATTTTTCAGAAAGGAAAAAACTTCAAATGATTATACCTTCTGTGAAGGATCTTATGATAATGAATACATGCTAGTAGATATCAACCAAAGGTTATGCAAGGTATAATTTTTTTTATGTTGTATTTTGACTGGACCAAGATGCATATTCATCATATTTCGTTATTTCAGAGCGTTGATACAGAAAAACGTCCTCATGATGGAAACATTGATCAACTAGATCGAGTGCCAGTTGATTTTTCCGCCCCATCAGGTCCAACAATTATAACTGATCCGGAAGAAGTTGAGTGAGTTTACCGCAAATATGTTTTTAAATTTAGGAATACCGCTGCTTTCAAATCCCAGGAATAAACATCGCACAGAACAGCGAGAAAACCTAATTTGATAATTTGCAAATAATTTAAAATATATGGGACAGCCAATTTCGACTTCAATTTTCAATGGAAATACTAGAAAATTATGCGAAATTTAAGTTAATGTAGGATTAAACATCGGCGCATTCACATGAACCCATTGGTATGTTAATGATATGACATAAACAGTTTACTCTTTAAGGGAGATACTAAAGTGCGGCGAATCTAGGGCGATTTATAAGGTCCATTCCAAAATTTACGGCCTTGCATCTTATTCCGTCTATCGCGCTGAACGTTGGTTCCATCACAATGCTGATAAGAGTAAAGTGGAGCGAATGTTGCAAAGGACTGGAGGAGAGGATGGGTGAGTAATTATTTGTATCAGGCAGGTTCTAATATATCACCTTCAAATTAATTTGCTTAAGGGGATGATTGCGTGTTTTGTAGAAGATTTGCATCCTCAGCTATTTCGGATAAAAGGTGAGAAGTTAGAAATGGAATAATCTGTTTTCGAGAAGTGAATAACTTTGGCTAATCTCAGATAATCAGTTGTTAATATAGAGTTTTAAACTTATCTTAAAATGTTGTAAAACAACCTGAAAGTGTCTTTACCAACAGATTATTGGTTTACAACAGAAAACTGATAAAGAAACAGAAAGCCACTAACCTTCTGTTATTCTTTTTTCATTGAACTTCATTCGCAATAATTAACTGTTGATAATTGAAAAAACTTATCTTAGTAGTGTCAAGATAAAAAACCATAGCTCTTAAAAAGTACAGTAAGGATTTCACTTTCTTCTAGAATAATTCCAGCTCTTTTTTGGTACGCGTCAATCAGCGGAACTGCTTGATACTCACCATGTGTCATCACCAAAAGATTTATAACATTTATATCAATGTTGTAAGTACCTCACTATCATTTCCTTCTTAAGAGAATTGCTATGATGATTTTAAGTCAGCAGAAAGCTTGCTGTCTTTAATGATTTCGTAGTTCTAATTAGACAGTACATTTTAATTTCGTACTTTGTTTTTAAATGATCTGCATTAGAATGATAGAATTCTCGCAGTACTAATGATAAAATATGCAGGTAATTGCAGAAAGTTGAAGGACATAAAACAACATTTTTCATTGAAACACTTCATCAATTTCCCAATCTGATAGACTTGATTAAGTATTATGCTGATCATCAAGGACTATTGCTACCATGTAAACTCACTAGAGGAGTCGCGCTTAGATGGCCTGATTGCACAAAGTAAGTGCCTCGCAGATCGTACTCTGAAACTGAAGAATAAAGGTTGCATATACATTCTCCTGAGATAACCCAAATACATAGTGATTTGCAGGATTTTAAGCTAATTTTATTATGAAAGGATTAAATGAAAATATAAGTGAGCCTAATACCTATTATGGAGGTACTTTTAAGAATAAAAGGCTTTCGGTTCTTTTAAAATCTCCCAAACATCTCTTAGAAGTTTTCTTCAGATCTTTCTGCCGTACAATCTATAGCAGAAAATCGTAATAGTTTTTGTTATATTAATGACATGTATTCTGTAATAATTACAGGCGAGGTATAACAAATCGACTGTGTGTTGAGGAAGATTATTAATTGACTTGAGAAATAACATATGAAAAGAATATGGTCATCGAACAAATGGGAATATCCAAAAACTGCGAAAGAAAACAAACGTACTTTCCGACAAAACAGAAGGACTGAAAAATTGATGCAAGACGAAGGAATACTTCTTGTTCTTTATATCAAAACGGATCACAGAATATCAAATAAGCTGCAACCAAATGTCATATAGAATTCATATAGATAGAGCAAAAAATGAAATTCCTCAGGTTCACTTAGTTAAGCATCTAGTTTTTCTAAAAATCACGTTAAATACCGTATCAGAATGAGAAATCATACATAAACACACCTTGTAAAGTTTTCTCTTAATCAATTAAATTACATAAAAATCAATTAAGTAAAGTAAAAGTCAAGATGCTCTAAATTTAGTCAGAAGGAAGGTTATTAAAAGTCAAATTTGGATAAAGATATCTTCATTTATGAGGTGAAGGATAATTTGCGAAAATCATACACTCTGAGGATTTTATGGCATATATCAATGAGATTCCGAAAATTTGGAAAACAAGTGAGATTTTTATTTCACAGAATTTTATATAACAACAGGAATGCGGATCGTAAGGTAAAAATGGTTGTTACTGAAGCCGTATATCACAAACTAATGGTAAGTGATCACTGGGAGATATCTTAGACGGTAATGCAACATACTTCTTAGCAAGTTCTTTTGGTGGTACTGGAATAACTTTCTGTATCTGAAAAAATTCATAGGAAAAGAGTTCTAACTTTACTGCACATTCTAACTTCTACCTTCCAGTTTCCAATAAGTTACAGAGAAATTAACTTATCATCGAATCATTCAAAGATAAAAAAAAATTCTATTCATTTGTTCATTTGTACTTTAACATTTAATTTCAGCTTTGATTAACTAATGTCTGAGTGATCAGTTGAAATATAGGATTGGAATTTTGAAACAAATGTTTGTCACGCATAAGTATTGCATAATACTGCAACGATAGAAACTTGTGTATGATTCAGCTGAACAACTAACTTTGACATTAGCACTTCCCCAAATGTAGTCCAAACATCCTTCGAAACCAGCAATTTGTCCATTATATCGATAATGACGTGTATAATTTGTGAACTGCGTTTCGTCACCCAAATTTATCAAGTTTAAGCTGAACGATGGAAAAGACGGCTGAATGGTAAAATTTATATCACCATAAATTTCAGGATATTGACTGTACGCAAGGCAGTCACTTTTAACTGATATATTTCCTGAAAGTTTAACAGCTCAATAACCAGCATGACTGCTAAACATTAAAGAAGAAATTACTACCAGTATTTTGTAAATTACTTTAAAGATGATTCACATATTCGAGAAACGTTTTATACTACTATTTTCTGTTAAACCACTTTTTATAACATAAAAACCGTATAAAAACATCTAAACAAAACCACTTATCAACATATTCTGTTTGACATCCAATTTAATAATTAGTGATTCATATTAAACTTTATCCACTGTTTCATTACACCTTTTATCTCTTATGTTTTATGTTTCGTCCTTGCTTTGGATTTAAAATTATACACCTCCCAACAAAAAAAAAATTTTTTTGAACTGAGCAAATGTACCTGTGCTGAGCAAATGATAAACAGCTCCATCTGGTGTACTGTTAAAATCTCCAGCAAACAAGATATGTAATTTTGCTTTAGGGTTACGATTTGCATAGTTTGTAGCAACACGTACAATCCATCGAGCACATAGTAATGCTTGCAATATTTTGATGATTTCAAAGCGAGGATCGAAATACAAATGAGTATTTGCTAGCAATAAAATACCACTTTCTTTTGCGAATAGACTACTGCTATCCAAGACTAACACCTGGGAATCACTCTTTTAGAAGGCAAAAATTGAAGCATGAAATTTAGAAAGATGAAAGATGTTGAAATATTCGATTTCCTCCTTCTCTTTTTTTTAATGAGAAACACACAAACTAATATATACTACTATCTCCAACTTTTATTTTAATGATCAGATGAATAACGTATTTTGAAATACATCATATTTGAGGCTATTATTTCAAATGTTAGTAGTTAAGAATTTCTTATTTTTGCATCTTATGGATCTCTAAAAAGGTGAGAAACGAAAGAGTGAAACATAAGTGAGCTAAGTCATATAAATATGCCATATTCTAATTAAAAGTTACCTGTATAACTGCAGGTTTTGATACAAACATGGCATTTAATTCATCATTACTTTTAAGTAATCTAATTATATCAGTGTTTTCAGGATATGTTCCAGTATTTAGAAGGTCCGGCAACCACATGTTATGGCTTTCAAGACACCTAAAAATCTTAAAAACGAAGAAACACATATAAGGAATGGTCAAAAACTTTTAGAGGAAACTGAACACATAAACAATATATCGTAAAATTAAATCACCATTCATATTTTTTGCATGAACTATTTGTCAGTAAAAAGATGCATTCTTTTTACAAGTCCTATATGTACCTGAACTGTTTCCTACGAAAACAAACGACCAATCCTTCATTTACTTTCATTCCTTTCTTTTTAAAGTAGCAATCATATCCATGACTGCTCATCACATCAGGCAAGAAGCGTAACCAAAATCGTTCATCTACTTCTTGCAAAAATATGATATCTGCTTGGTAACCTATAAAAAAGAAGGATTGAAGAAATCTCTTGCTCCATGAATTACTACCCTGTTGATTTTCGTCAAAAACCAAAATCATACCAGGAATTTCTCGAAGTAAAATAGGGTACCGATAATCGTAATTCTGATATTCCTTTGCACAATATGGGAAATGCAGATCTTCTTGTTTGAGCTTTAAATCCAAATATAAGTTAGCAAGAACATTATATGAAATCACCCGTATATTTCTGAAAAGGTTATAAAAAATGTTTATAAAAAAGCATAGTAAAAGTATAAAGTTATTAACACTATGTCTTATGTAAGAAACATTTGGGTTAAAAGATGGTAAAAGATGACATCTAAGATTCAACTTTGCTAAGATTGAGTAATACGTAATGATGAAATATATCCAATAAAACTTCAAGCAATTAAAATAGAAATGTGTTAAATGTGGAAATATGCAACAAGGCTATACATAAAAGCTCATGAAAACTGTAAAGTTCATAAAAATGTGGTAGATCAGCTGAAGTGAAATTTTTACCCACTATTTGCATGTTCTTGACAAAAAGTAGCTTGTCTTTCTTCAAAAATCAGTGTTTCACCGACTTCAGAAACCTCGCTATCACTATCAGCGCAATATACGATCATATCTGCTCCCATATCGAGCAATACGCAGATACGTTTTCCAATATCTTCAACAGAAGGACAAAAGTATTTGCCCGTGGAACGATAGATCCAACCATCCATCGTGTACTTCAATTTTCCTGAAAATAATATGAAGGTTATTTACGGTTATTCCATGGATTGAGTCAATTATTAGTTTAAAACAATAAATGTCATTATGATTTTTTGATCTTTAACATTAAGACTTTCATTTCTTCATTTTTTTGGTAAAAATATGAGTTCATATCGACAGATACTGACTAATTATCTTCCTAAATTGGACATGTAGTTGCAAATCTCTAAAACTCTCGTAGCTCAGTAACATAAGGGTAAATCATAGCCGATTCATCGTTGTTAAGTTCAGGTTGATTTAACAATGATTTTTTTCTAATTTGTTATTATGTCATTATCAATCAAGTGAATCATCAAGAGAATCGATGAAAAATCATCTTTGTGCTACGAGAGTTTTAGAAATATTCTTGAAGCGCTTAGCACAATCCAAAAACGCCGTTATTTACAGTCAAAACAATATGTCCATATTAATTCATAGATAGAAATATATGAGAATGCTCTCTTAAATCTTAACAGAGACTTTTTTTAAATATATTAAAGAAGAATCCGACTCAAAATAAGAAGTTCACCTCCTGGAATATTATTCAGAACTGGTGAAATTAAACATGTATCGGGTTCTCCAACATACCAATGAAATGATGGCTCTACTTTTCGTAAGTCTGGAAATCTTCTATAATTTAGAAAACTCGAAATGTCAATCATTAAAATCAAATTATCAAAGAAATTTGATGTGGAAACTAGGAAAGATTAAACTTACTCTCCGCTAATAAGAAACTAGCCATGAGAGGACATCCAACTAGTGGTTTCAGCTTTATAACTAGCTTTGTACATCGAGGAGGGTTCCGCAGTAAACGGTACGCTTTGTTATTGATACACATATCAAGTACATTCTCATCCTTATATACTTGTTCGTTTGTGGAAAGAAGCTGAATAGCAGGATGAGTAGTACATGCTACAAGGGCTACTACAACATTTCCAATAATTTCAAACTGAATAGTGAAACAGTGTCGTAACTGTTCAATGAAAAGTAGTAGAATCTAAGTCGTTAAATATTTTCTATCAGGATAAGAGCAGGATGTTGGAAGCTTCTTTCCTATATAAACAACGAATAAATTAATTAACAAAGTATCTCATACAGAGAAAAAAGATGGAAGATATACAGATATAGTAAACTCAGTAAAAACAAACCAAATTAGGGTGACCTGGTGAAGAAAAGAAAAATTCAAAGGTGTCGCTCTCATCACAAGCCACTTTGCTTGACTGTTTATGAATAAATTTGCTGATTTTTTCTTTTATCTTGTCACATGTTTGAAGAAATAATTCATTCAAGGGACGAACGAGATTAATTTCAACCAAAGTCTTAGAATGCGGTACACAGTACACGAAACAAATGTGTAGGGATTGTTCCCTGAAACTTAGTGAAATCTATAAGTTAAAAAAACGAAATCTGGAAAATATTAACTGCAAAGAGATTACTTACTCCATTCCATCTGCACACGAGATTTTTTTACGAGCAATTCGTGGAACACTCCCGACCCACATCATAATGACATTTTCTGGATATTTAGCAATGTAAGAGGCATTTCGTCGAAGCCGTCTTTTCATCACTCTGCAACTGTTTTTTTAAAAAATTTTCATGAATATACTGATGAGCTAAAAAAATCTGGTCAGGTAAAGCGATCGTAAAAAACGATTTCTTTGAACAGATAGTTGACCATTAATAGCTGGACTGAATGATGACATGGAGTCGAAAAATTTCTTGACAACAACTCAACACAACATACTATGCTAGAAGAACCGAAAGAAAAGCCATACGAAGAAATGGTATCGGGATCGCTCCTCGAAGCACAATTCTGGAAAAACGATATCGAAAATGGAAACAAACAACCGCGACTCTCACAGTGCCTCACAGTATTCCTCAACAGCCACCACATATACTACAAAGTAGAAATATCTCAAAAATCATTAGTATCAGGAAATGAAAGAGAAGGCTAATCGGTTCTTACCTTGCAACCACAAAAGTACGTTCAAGTGTACACCACCAAATGGAATGGATGGAAAGTTACGGCAAAAAGGTCAACTGTCACCCCTTCCGATCGTCCTTACGTGACTCCCGAAATGCAATACAGATCCCATGGGAAGGAGTATGAAGTGTGGTGAGGGAGAAAACAGCGGACTGTATATGACCATGGCGGTACAGATGAAAGACACCCGGAACGACAAGACACACAAGAAGGAGTTCACAGAGGATAAAGATTAAATTGTTAACTATTACTCTCTTTCACAATAATGAGTTCTTACTTAAGTAACAGAGAGAAAGTATGAGAGTAATGCATGTTTACTGCGACAGGTATTCATTTTAGACAGTTTCAACTGATAATACAACATTAGTCAAAAGATGCCGAAATGGAAGAATGTATTGTCGTCAGGGAATTAATAAGATAAACACAAAAGCAGGGATGAATTTCCTCAATTTTTCTAAGGAAACAAGGTACAAGAAATGAAAAGGAAAAAAGAGAGAAAGAAAAAGAAAAACTTAAGTCCCATTTCTTGCATTCATTTTACCGTACGATGGATCTGCATTTTTCTCTTTTTTAATTTTTTTGAAATGAAAAATACCTTTCCTACCTTCATTTTTCCATGTTATTGCGGTTCATTTTGATAAAATGAAAGAATTAGTCGGCGATGTTTGCTTCGATGACATGCAAGGTCAGACCCAGTTGTGTTTCTTTCATCGGTTGGCATTTGGGTGAATTTCTCTCTAATGTTGTGTCTCTATGACAGTACCAAGTTTCTCCACCAGCTTCTAGTTTTATTCTCTTAATGAAAGATTGAAATTCATGTCTTTTCATGGGGCAGTTATTTTAATCCTGCAAATCATCTTAATCCATTTTTATTTTTTGATATCATTTACCTTTACATTGTTTGATTTACCAAGTCCCTTTCACTGAATCAGTTGTTGTTATTTTTCCTCCTCACTTCTACAGGATCCTATTTTAATAATTTCATAACCTAGTAAAGCGATGGTGGATAGTGTTAAAGAAGGGATAATTGCATTGCCTGAAATGTTAAATGACTTATAAAGTGACTGTAGTAAGCAGTTTGAATCAAAACCGAAATCACTGCACAATCATCACAAGTTCAGAAGAGATTGTAAGTGGGCCAAAGGAGCATGAATTGTTAAAAAGGAAAATGCGATGAACAACTAACTGCTTGGTTTGGTGGTCATTGAAGCAATCATTGAAATGAATGTCAGAAATTTACCCAAGGGCAACTACAGTCCGTTTCCTGATTGCTATCTAATTGATTTATGATAAACAATTTGTAAGGAAATAATCGAGAGCCAGCAAAATGTGACAAATTTTCTATTAATTCTTTGACTGCAGTTAATTTTTCAGCGTTCTCAATAAACAATTATGATCGTAGCTTACATACTGCCTTTGAGTATATTTAAATTCACGATATCGGTAGCAGTAACACTCGAAGAAGACGGTGCTTCATTCATTCTTGTTCCTCATGGTTTCAGTCCCGATTATGCTGAAAGAGTAGTCATTCCAGCAGGTAACTTTCGTCAAGTTCGTATTGTTCTAATCGAAATATTCCAAATATATAGACTGAAATAATTCCAAGTATATGGACTGGTATATTTCAGTAAGTTCGGGGCCTCAACCTCCATTTCCATGTCTGGTTGCTGGGATGGGCACGTATGAACATGGTCAGACATTCACCAAGGAACATTTCCATTACAAATGCAACAATGGTACCGCTGAAGTTATTGGTAAATTTAATTTTCACAGCTATTTGATTTTTTTTATATAGCATGTCTGTTAGTAGTGAAGATCATACCTCCAGTATGACAGAGGACTTTCCAGATAGCCATTACAGTAATTATTACAATTCCATTACCTTTCAGCATGTGTAGCAGACGACAAATCAGTAATACATATCGGTCGAATGTTTATAAGAAGCGGAGTAAGGCATAAATGTGACGTGAAGGGAGACACGGTCACTTACGAGCAAGGTAACCATTTATCGTGAATTTGATAGGAATTTCAACTTATTCAACACGAAAGATTTTTAACGGCTTTGACAGTGCTCAAATTCCGACCTTTAATCTATGCATCAATTTTTTGATTTAAGAATTGAAATCATTAATAGCATTGGCTTTCTCCTAGTTTTTTTTCTTCACCTATTTTCTTTCTCTTTAATCTGTCTTTCATGGCAATGATTTGTGAGAAAAAAAAGGTTAATCAAATCAACCAAACTTTTCTATAGATCTATAAATCATTAACGATTATTTAAAGCATAAAGTCTGCGGTTATCTCATCAAAGTTCTGAATAAAAAGTTAGCTAAAATTTTGTTATTAAAGCAATATCTTCAAAAAAAAAAAAAAAAAATTTGCACATTTGGAAATTATTACTATTGACAGTAGCTTTCCTATAGTTCAAAAAAAGAAAAAAATGAACTGGAGAAATCCATAAGGAGAAAGCAGTAGAAATAATATTTCCTCTGTGTTACACTCTAAGCAAATATACGATGTCTTGCATTTCGTGATAGTTGGGTTTGAAATTAGTATTTATGAAAATAATAGCTGCATATGAAAAGAGTCCGATATCGTAGTAATGGAAGAGGCAACTCGCGCAACTTTAATACGATTTCATTATCTTTTAAAATAGGCTATATGTCTTTATTTAAATTACTTATATGAAATTGTAGTGGACTGTCAGAGAGTTATGATTCATAATGGATTACAAACAAGAAATCAACAAAGACTTAGAGGCCAGCTATTTGTTATAGCTAATAAGCTGAAAGTGAAAAAAAATCGATAAATGTCATTTTACTTTGTCAAAAATAATTATAATAATAGTTTATATTTGGGATAGAATTAAAAGTATCCTTCAGAATCAACCTGTTATGATAATGGGATTCATTACAATGTTGGTGAACATTTTCGCAATGGATCTTTCGTGCTAGTTTGCCAAAAAGATGGTATTACCATTGAAGGTTTGTAATCCTATAGTTGTAATGCATGTAATGTTACATATATCTGAATTAAAAAATATATTATTTCGAATAAGTGGGATTGCAGAAGTCTGAACATAACCTATTAAGAAATGCTTTGGAAATGATCATTATGCTATGTTGGTCAACTTCATGATGGATACCTAACAGTAAGGGGAATACATGCCTCTCATCATCTTCGTATAAGAAAGGAAATCAAAATTGAAATTTGTGTTGGGTTGCAGGTTGTTATGCTCGAAATACAGATATCGCAATTCCTGTAGGTACCGAACGAATCGTGGAACATTATTTGCATAAGTGCGAGCTGCTCGACCAAGGACGAGTACGATATACTGCGAATTGTATTATTTAAATCTTTATCATAGGGTTGTAGGAATCTCTCTTTACCTATTTCAATTTTAACTGACAAAAAATTAATTTACCTGACGACGAACAGCTTAACTAAAAAAAAAATTATTTTACAGTTATTTCCAACAGTTTGACAGTTATTTGCATGAAGTACTAAAGTAAATGAATGCGTCTTTGTATTCGGAGAACTTGTAGTGATTGGATGCAAAAAAGATAACGAATTTTTCAATGAAGGACAAATATGGACATCAGAGCATATTCGATATCAGTGCACATCATATGGAATCGTCCGAGTGCTCGGTGATTTTTAAAAATATTATCTTATTAGAAATAGTTCAACATCGATTGGTTATAATTACAGGAAATTTCAGGAAATATTAGCTGGAAGCTTTAGATTTGAGGAACTGCATTTCACATTCCTGTACGAACTTAACCTTAATTTTCAAAACTTTTCAAATAATGCTTGAGGTTGTGTGGATGATAATGGTCTATTCGTTGAACTCGGAAGGGACGTCTTGATGCGTAACATCGTACATCGCTGTTATAGAGTTGACAAAACAACAGTTTATCATCGCTTCGCATGCGTTGGACGAACACTGACCGAATGTATTCTTACTCCACCAGTGGAACGACTGCCCCCTATTTCCCAAACATGATGTATTTCATTGATATTACTTATAAATTTGTTTACGGAACTGCTTCAGAATTCCGCAAAATGGTTAAATTGGCAAATACTGCCAATTTTACTTTATTGGGACAAATTTAAAAATTCGTTCAGACACCTAAAAACAACTGAATTTATGAAATGCTCAAGGCAGTACCTTCCAATCGCTTTTTTTTTGCAGTATGACAAAACGATTTAACTGCTACTGTAGCATAAGTCAGCTTTAAGTTTCCTAATCTCTAATAATCAAATGTGAAATTTATTGTTTTACTTCTTAAACTGTACTGAAATAGAATGATCGATACACAGCAAGTCGACATCAAATGAACGGCATAAGGTTCTGGTAGAAAATTTCTACTTTATAATTGCGTAATTTCGGAAAAAGGATTTAATTTAAAAAGTCAGACAAACACTTCAAATAATTAGAAAGAAAAGAAACATAACCACAACATGTTCAATTAAATGCATAAAACAGATAAAGAAAAAGTAGCTATCGATATGAACAATGCGAAATCATTTTAAATAAACCTATAGTGCATGCCAGTAAATGTAGAAGGATGAAATAAGTTGCATTATCTTTCTGCAAAGCAATGCTGGACCTTTATTTTCCGAGATTGATTTTATAAAACAATCCTTCTTAAAATTGTAAGAATTTTGCTACGAAAAAGACTTCAAACTCCTTAAAACATAGTGGAAGAAATTCATCAAAATAACAGTGAAAAATCTTCGCTAACAGAAGCGAAAAAGATCTACTTTAACCACAGAAACTAGTTCTGGGGGAAATTTCTAACAGACTAATACAGATAATTTTTTAGCAAGTAGTTATGTCGACGTAGCATTCGTGGGATTATTATTCTCGATAGATATTGGTTCGAAGTGATATTTCCAAATAGGTATACGACGTCCAACAGTTTCCCAATTAGTCATGTAGATTAACATAAGTACCGCTCCTGCACCAAAACCACTGTATGTCGGTAAGCTAAAAAGATCATCAGATTCACTTTTGACTTCAAGATCTCTAGTGAAGTGGTATTCACAAGGCTTTCCCATTTGACAATCAAGAAGAGCTGGACGGAAATAAATCAATATGCAATATTATCAATCGTGCTCACCGACACTCCGACACCCAATATATGGAGTGGCTACGGGAACTGTCCTGCAGTGTTTATTTGTCTCTGCTAGCAACAAAAAATAACTTACTAAGTTTTGTTTCTTAAAGCATTTCTGATGAAACGTTTATAGTTAACGTAATCCATTCCTGAAAAACGAGATCGATTTACTTTACTCTCGTCATATATCTACCTGTACCTTCCTTCCCCCCATACCCTTACAGCAACGAGGAGCCGACCACAACACCAACATCAACTTCGATCTAAATGAGCACTTCACAGACACTCTCCGCCATCTCAGCAGGTGTTCGGCGAAATACTACTTCGTGGTTGGCCGTTGTTTATGATGTGATGTTGTGTGCGTTGCATGGGAATTGGCTCTCCATAGCTGGTGTAGGCCAAAGGTTCTTATTTGTTAGACTGTCAACAGTTTGTCCTCTAATGGTTCTAGTTATGTACACCTACGTGTAGGACATACTTCTGATGGCTTATCCACGTGTACTACCACGAAGGACTAAGTCATTCGGTTTAATCAGAATGATAGTATGAATGAAATCGGCGCGAAAAATTCTGCGATAAACTGTCTTGCTTATAGGAGTAAGTATATCGTAAAACCAAACAAAAAAAAAATAAAGAAAATGGATGCTCAAGTTGAATTGTTGCGTCAGTTCGTGAACATTTGTAAAAGCAATCCAGCGATTTTGCATGAGCCAAGATTCAAATTCTACAGGGATTATCTTGAAAGGTTATCTCTCAGCTTGCATTTTATTGGTGTTCTTTTGCTTAATATTACATTGTTTTGAGTATTGAGTAAGGAACGTAGATGTACTGTATTCTGTTAAAATAAGTTAAATGGTGGAACTTGAATAGTGTCTTTTTTTCATTTAAAAAAGAGAAATTTTTTTCTCTCTCACACAGCAATTTCAGTCAATTTATTAGTTTTGACGGATATATTGATTTATTAGGAAAGTATTTCGTAAAATATATTACTTCACAGTCTTGGTGCAAAGCTCCCACCCTCACCAAGTGAAACGAAATCATCCGAACCAACCGGTCATAATGAGGAAACACAAATAAATGAGCAACAAGTGGAATCAGAAGATGAGCTGGAACTGGACATGTCAGGAGTAATAAAGGGCGAAGAAGATGAACTGCTTCCAATGGGTGATGATAATAAAGAGGTTATGATCTTGTTAAATTGTTGAGTAATCAGTCGCATACGTAATGTTCGCTTTGAAATTGTTAATTGCAGATAACTGAGGAAGATATGGAAAAAGCAACTGATCAACGAGTGCTTGCTGTAAAGGCATTTAATGAAGGTATCTTACAATTATTTAAAGTTTATTGTGATCCTAAGTATTGTATTAGTTCTTAATTCCTTTTGGGTATTTAAAACGATAATTAGATACGAAGGAGAAGGACCGACATCAAAAAATTGGCTTGATGCGACCAAATATTTTCCATTGAATTTGGTTTCTATTTTAGATTCTATATATTCTTTTTGAATGAATTTTGAATGAAGATAAATTTTTTTAGGAAACTATGAGAAAGCTGTGCTGCATTTTACTAGTGCCATCGAACTAAACCCAGGATTGGCAGTTTTGCACGCAAAGAGGGCGAAGTAATTAACTGTTTTACTGTAATTTCTCAATGGAATTTTTTTAGTTTCATTTTAGTTTTTTGCAGTGCGCTCCTGAAGTTGAACAAACCAAATGGTGCAATTCGCGATTGTGATAAAGCAATTTCATTAAATGCAGACTCAGCACAAGGCTATAAGTTTCGTGGACGAGCTCACAGGTCTTATTAGTTTATATCTTGATGTGCCACATTCAGAATTATTATTTTGTCTCCTTTTTTTTTTTTTTTTTTTTTTATTGTTACACTATGCTCAATCACTTTATTTATAGGTTACTTGGCAATTTTGTGGAAGCTCATCATGATTTAGCCATGGCATGTAAATTGGATTATGATGATGAGGCGAATGTATGGCTTAAAGAAGTCGAATCAAACGTAAATTCTTCAAAACTTTTACACAATAAATATTTTAGCTTCAAATTTCATACTACAAGAGTAGATTTGAGTACTTCCATGTACGATTGGTCTGTGATATGATGGGAGCTAATATGAAGCTATCAAACATCTAATCAAAGAATGAAGCAAACAAATGGTTTGTTGTATCATATACTTACATCTATTTGAAAGGAAGTTGCTATTCTTCAGTTTAAGTTGTGTCATTATTACCAGATTTACTAAGTAATCTAAGTTTTACCTGTAATGCATGTGACTGGCTTTTCGTCAAGTTTGTTTTCATAATGAAGAGTCTTATTTTTCTCTTCTACCTAAATATGGTATGCAGATGACAGTATTAAAATGATAAAATGTATTTTTCATATTAAAGTGCAAAGAGAAAGCAAAGACTATTAAAAATTGTGGAAATTTGATAGAAGAGAGAGTGGGTAACGTAATTATACATATATATTTATATTTAGTCACTAATTTTCTCTTTTTTCTTCTTCCGGCAGAGACGTCGCCCATTCGGTCCTATTGGTGCACGCTCAAGAATGGGCAAGCCAGCCTGTTTCCGACATGATATATAATAGATATTACAAATGGCGCCATTTGCACGACGAAAATCTTTAATATTTAATTGTCGCAGTTTTTCGATTCTTTTTTCTTCAGCAACCTGATGCAGCGGAACACTACTGTAGCATTTTAGCCTATATTTGCATTTAAGCTTTTGCGCACTACTTAGCGATCGTAGTTTGGTTGCTTTTTGTCGTGGTTGTGAATAATCGAGCAGCTCTACCTGCATATACTCATGTTCTTTAGCGTCAAATTGAAGCTCTTTATTTTTCTTTTTCTGAGTTCGCTTGCTTGCCTCATCCGTAACTTTCTCTTGTACCTTGTCCTTCTGTTCTTTTTCCTTATGTTTGATAACCGGTTCTGTTTGGTGAGGCGATTTCACTATTCCTTCCTGCATTTTTTTCTGCGCTTCCTTTTTACGCACTTTGTCTAATTGTATATCCAGTTCTATGCTTTCATAACAGGATTTGCGATACTTGCATTTTAGTTGTGGGCTGTCGTACTCTTTAATAGAAGCAATAACTACGTATGATGTATGATTTAAATATGATGGAAGTATGCCAGTTTCATAGCATGATTTTCGGTATTTGCAACGTAATTTTAGTTGTTCGGTACTTAGTTCCTCTTCAGCAGATTCCTTATTTTTATATTCGTTCGGAATTGGAATTTCTGAGAATCCAAATATACTTATTTTGATTGGTGGCAGTTTTCCAGTTTCGTAACATGATTTTCGATACTTGCATCTTAATGTGAGTGGGATATTTTCTTCTAAGCTATGTTTTTTTGGAATATGTTCTTCCTCCTTTTTGGTGAAATGTGTCATCTTGAAGTTTTCTTGAAGGTTTTCTGGCAACTTACCCGTTTCATAGCACGATTTTCGATATTTGCATCGTATTTCAAGCTGTCTATGGTCTTTCTTTTCTTGGAAATCTTGTGGTGCCTTTATGATTTGGACTGATTGCAGTTTGCCGTTTTCATAACATGACTTACGGTATTTGCATAAGAGCTTAATATTTAATGGGCTTAAGTTTTTGTCATAAATGTTTACTTCCCTAGGAACTGTTATGTTCTCATTTTGTAAGAATATTGATTGTACTTCCTTGACACGTGATGGTTGCACATCCGTCATTGTTGATAACAGTTCTTTTTCAAAATCTTTTTTATCTACAAAAATTTTCTTTTCCTTCATGATGTTTTCATTCTTAATTCTCATTTCCTTCTCTATTTTTTCAATTTTTGATTTCTCTTCCTTAGATCCTGCATGTTCTGGAACTATTTTCTCAGTTATCGGTTCTTTCATAATTGCTGTCGATGTAACTGTCTTCTGAATCTTCTTTGTCGGTTTTATTGATGTTTCTTCAGTATGTTCTTTGGTTCTCTTTTTCCTTGGTTTATATACAGTTCCTTCAAATTTCTCATTTCCTGTTGCTGCTGTCATCCTTTTCTCCTCCAACACAGGAACAAAGACTTTTGATTTTTTGATTAGCTTTTTGCTACTAGTTTCCTTCATAAGTTTTGTTTCGAAAGCGCGCTCCATTTTTTTGGATACACTTGTTTCCTCAGTTTTCTCAGATTTGAGTACGGGTTCTTTTTGGAATGATTTAGTAATTTTCTTTTTTTCTCTCTTTTCCTCTTCTTTTTGTTGTATTTCATCCTTAGCATGTGTTTCAGCCTCATCAAGTAATCCAGTATTTAAATTCTGTTGCTCTTCGGCTTTTCGTTTGTAGCAACTTTTTCTGTATTTGCAGAGTGTTTTCAAGTGGTATAGCGATATAACTGTTTGCACTGGTACTCTTGACGGTGTTTCTTCTTTGGCAATTTTTTTCTTTAGATTAGGTAAAGTTCCAGTATCATAGCACGATTTCCGGTATTTGCAACGTATCTTTAAAGGAATCACTTTATCATACCTATTAAAAATATTTAGATATTTGAAATTTTGGCCATGGTTTATTGCAATCTTTTGGCCAGTACTGAGGCAAGACTTTCGATATTTACAATAAATTCTTTTTTCATTGTTATTAAAATCAGTAAATTCCTTGTGAATAGTTTCCTGCATGCGTCCCTGACGATTTCGTCGTATTAGAAAATGGTAAATTTTTTGTAATAAGTTGTCGGATGAGATATCGATTTCCGGAAGGATACCAGTTTCATAACAGGATTTCCGATATTTGCAAGACAGACGTTTCTTCATTTTTTCTGTGACTTTATTGAGATTCTTTTCAACAATTACTTTCGTGGGGATAGGTCTCAGTGCTGCATTTCTTTCTTTTTCTTCTATTTTTGCCAATGCTATTCTGGCAATTTCTTTGGTTGATTTTTGTTTTGTTGCTGGTAAAATGATAATATCACGAGAAAAAATTGGTCCTGTTTGAACTTTCAGAGCACTTTTCTCGATCTCAGCACCTATTTCTTCATAACACGATTTACGGTAACGACACAGAAGTTTTAGTTCTGCTTCGCTAATCTCTTCTCTCTCTTCATTTTCATTCCTCGTATGCATTTCGGTCGTGCTTCCTTTTTCAGAGCAATTTTCCTGTGCATATGGACCCGTCATAAATCGTGGTAGAATATTGTGTATATTCCATGTTTTCGGAATAATGCCCGTATTATAGCATGATTTTCGGTATTTGCAGAGCAATTTCCGTCTTCCAATTGGTACTTCTAAAACATCAGATGCTTCTTTTCGGGTCTTCCGCTTAGTTTGCTGTTCCCGATATAACTTTAAAAGTTTATATTTTTTCGTATAAATACGATGTTTTCTTCGGTGTTTGCTGAGCACGTGATGACCTCGTGCATCCTGGTGTGTCTTGTGTGCTGCACGTAACTGTTGTGTGCTGTGATAAAAATGATTATGATACTTGTGCTCGGTAGCGGATACGAAAATTTGAGGCATCAAAGAATAGACATTACTCTCATGTCTTAAATCATTAGGTAGTAAAAGCATTGCTGTGTCGCACGTTATTCCTAGTTTGTTTATCCAGTTATAGCCAACTATATTATTACAAAAATAAATGGTTGGAAAAACTTTCCCAGCTGATTGAGCGCAGTGATTGCATTTAGTTGCAGTCCGCACCAAAATGCTAATTCTATCGCTTGACTTTCTATCTGAAAAATTAAAATTCAAAATATTTGAGTTTGGCAAAACTATTACAGTTTATAGAACAGTATGAACCGGTCAAAGCCTTATAATTTTTCATTTATGAAATAAGTACTTCAGGATGTGTTTTTGGCCGTTATGTTTTGAGAAAAAAGTAAAATGATTTTACCAGAGTCAATAATAAGTAGGTTGTTGCGTGTCGTATTAACAATGTCATGGAGCAGTGTAAATTCGGCTAAATTCATTTCGTCACATCTTTTATGAATATTTATTATTGTTTGTTCCTGTGACCAGGGTATCAGTTCCACATCTACATCAGTGCGACTTTCTAGCAGGTCTTTCCATTTCTTCGTTTTATGCGTCATAATCCGAATTATATGAGTCTCATCCTCTGAATTGTTAGAAGTATTTCCACCTTCTATTATGTATATGGATTAATTTAAATGTAGAACCATGGTGAAAATTGGACTACTCTCTAATCAGTTTTCCAAGGTGACATTTATATTTCAAATTAACAAATTAACAGAAAAAGGGATCCGCAGGTTAATATTTCTAAGAGAAATTGAAATCAAGTGATTCTAGCCGTTTTGTTAACGTAAGTAGAACGCTATAGCATGTTTTTCCCATCAGACTGCCTTATTTTATAAGACTTTATCTTCTTACTAAACTTATGTGCAGCTGGGTTGTTGTTAGCAAGCAAAGAAATTTAAAGGTTTTACTTTCGGGAGATAATCCAAATTGGCTAAGAAATTTGATAAAAGGCTCGTTATTTGTAGCATACTGCCATAAATATCCAATAGTAATGAGGTCGGTATGAGCTGAAAGTTTTAAAATTATCTTCAGTGTTTTTCTCCAGGAATTTAATTCTGAAATTCGAAGTAAAAAATTTTTGCTTCGCCAAAGTGAGTTACTGAAGAAAGAAGAAAGAAAACAGTTTCAGTATGTTTTTCCATTACATCATTTGTTGAACACATTCGAATTTGAGGTCTTTCCTATTTTTAAAAAATGGCCATAAAATGAAGGTTGGGAAGCAACCAAACATAGTCATCATGCCTTAAGTATTTCATAATCCAAAAATTTATAGTCTTTAACATCTTATAACAAGTTGTCAATTCATAAAACATCTTAATGTTTCAGAAGTTATCGACACATTTGCATAGAACTCTGATTTATAAATTCATGTTGATATTGTTGTAATATACTTCTCGTAGGGAATAAAAAAGACTGACCGTCCTTAGCAGTTCTAGAGGTTTTAGCTCCACTGATTGGTAAGACAATTGGAAAAATGATGTAATAAATCACTTGAACCGGTGTCATCTGTGCGTTATGATGAAGGACCTTGGTGGTACTCAAGCGTGGAGGCTTCCGTATTGCACCACTCGATATCTGTTTTGAGATATAAGCTCCTGCTGTTGGATGGGAATTGGACCGC